GCTGTCCCCTGATCATGCGAGTGGCCCGCCTCTGGACCCTCTCCATGCTGTCCACATCCCTCTTGAAGTGCGGTGCCCAGAACTGGATGCAGTACTCCAACTGTGGCCTGACCACTGCCGCACAGAGGGGGAAGATCACCTCCTTGGACCTGCTTGAGATGCATCTGTGGATGCGTGACAAGGTACAGCTGGCCTTCCTGACTGCCTCCCCACACTGCCGGCCCATGTTCATCTTGGAGTCAACGATGACTCCAAGATCCTTTTCTGCCTCTGTGCTGACAAGAGGGGAGTTCCCCACCCTTGCAGGTATGGTGCCGGTTGTTTCTCCCCAGGTGCATCACCTTGCACTTGTCCGTGTTGAATCCCATCCTATTCTCATCCGCCCACCCTTGTAACCTGTCTAGGTCTGATTGTAGCCTGCTGCTTCCTTCTAGTGTGCCCACATCCCCCCACATCTTAGTGTCATCAGCAAATTTGAACAGGGTGCTTTTTACCCCCTTGTCCAAGTCACTGATGAAGATGTTGAACAGTGCGGGCCCAAGGACTGAGCCCTGCGGAACCCCACTGCCCGCATCCCTCCAGGTTGAGAAGGACCCATCCACTACCACCCTCTGGGTGCGGCCCTCCAGCCAGCTGGCGACCCATTTGACTGTGTGGGTGTCGACACTGCAGTCCCCCAGTTTCTTAATGAGAACGGGGTGCGAGACAGCCCACCAGGCTTCCCCTGGGTCCTACTGCCCCTGGTTTCTGTCATTTTTAACAGGAACCAAGGACAGATCAATATTAATTTTCAAAAATTTTTAGGGGCCCTGCAGGCCAGACAGAACAGCCTTGCAGGCTGGATCCAGCCCGCAGGCCATATTTTACCCACCCCTGTAATACTGGCTCATTAAGGGGATGGTGGAAAAGGAGGACAGAATTGACTATAACTTCAAAACTTCCATATTAAATCTGATGCTAACATAATGATTAAAGAACAAGCTACCTAAAAGAAAAGCAGAGACCATAAAAAAGCAATTTAAAAAGGAAAAAATGATAGCAATTCATGAGCACAAGGGAGTGAAACGATAAATTTCAGACCCGAACTAGGGTCTGATATTTGACTGAGTTCCTTCTTTAAAGTCTGATCCACACTTATAAATGGATAATACTGATACACTAAGTACTCTAATGTAGAAAGGATAGTGATCCATGAAAACTCTTTGAAACTAATTTTAAAATATTTTAAAGCTCCTAGAGAACAAGATAGAAATCATATGACACCAAGGTATGGGAGAGTGTGGTCATGCCAGAAGATAGGTTGCAGATACAGGCTGGAGAGTTGGGTGGACCAGAACCAGCTGAAGTTCAACACTCAGAAGTGTAAGGTGCTCCACCTGGGGGGAAACAATCCCCAACATACCTACAGGCTCTGTGGTGACAATTTGACTTGCACAACGGCCGAAAGGGACCTAGGGGTAGTGATCGACCATCGCACGAACATGAGCTGGCAGTGTGATGCTGTGGCCGGCAAGGCAAACAACACGCTGGCATACATTAACTGTTGCATCTTATGCAAAACTAAGGAAGTGATACTCCCACTGTACTCCACACTGGTGAGACCGCAGCTGGAGTAACTGCATCCAGTTCTGGGCACCGCACTTCAACAAAGACGTGGGAAAACTTGAGAGGGTTCAGAGAAGAGCCACCCATGTGGTCAGGGACTTGCAAGACAAGCCATATGAGGAGAGGCTGAGGGACTTGGGCCTCTTCAACTTACAGAAGGGAAGGCTGAGAGGGGACTTGGTAGCGGCTTACCGCTACATCAGGGGAGTACATCAAGAACTTGGTGAACAGCTGTTCACCAGGGCACCCCTGAGGAAGACCAGGAGCAATGGATATGAACTCCTGGAATGCCAGGAAAAACTCCATCACAGTCAGGGTGTCCAGACTGTGGAATAAACTCCCTCCAGTGGTGGTGCAGTCATCTACCATGGAAATCTTCAAAAGAAAACTGGACAGTCACCTCACTGGGGCCACTTGACCCCAGTTGTCTTTTCCTGCCTAGTGCAAGGGGACTGGACCCAATGATCTACAAGGTCGCTTCCAGCCCCTAACAATCTATGAATATGAAAATGCTAACTAGTACAGGGAATGAGAGTTATGAAATTGCTTATTTCTTGTTGGTAGTTGTTTTTACGTTTGTTCTAGTAATTCTCAGTTTTGGGGGGGTTGCATAGTTCATTTTATATTCTTCATTAGAGGTGCACAGATATATCAGTCCATATTGTATCGGCACCGATAAAAGGAAAAGTGATAGTATTGGCGATTGGCTTTTTTTTGCCTGGTGTAGCCAATCATGTCACCGATAAATGTTAGGTGCACGTGCACAACTGCAGCATGGACATGGCTAGGAATGCAGTTTGGCAGATTGGAGAGCAGCCTCCTGCCAGTAAGTCTGGGAGGGGGAGTTGGAAAAGGAAAGAGGCAGATCAAGGCCCGCACAGTGAGGGAGGGAGTAAGGCACGGACAGGTACTGCCCAGCTGGGCAGGGGTGGGGCACAGGATGGAGCCATGGGCAGCTTGTCCTGGAGGTGCAGGGAATGGGGCTGGCAGCGAGTGGGGCTGCGTGCACCCCCGGGGAGGCATGCGGGAGCATGTTCCCCCCTCACCTGTGTGCAGGGCACGGGCAAACTGCCCACTGCAGGCTCAGGGTCAGGGTCTACACTGACCTCTTTCTGGTGGGGGGACTGGGCCAGCGCTGTGCTCAGGGCACGGCAGGGCAGGTAGCGGCACCGGGAGGAGGAGCTACAGTGAATTTTGGGGTGGCTGTGGCTGCCCCCCACAGCCACATCAATCTGAGTACAGCCCCGGCCCGGTATCCCCCCAGGAAGAGGCAAGTACAGCCCCCAGCCCTGAAGTGGGCAGCCTGCCCTCACCCTATGCACAAATCTGGGGGGCATATGCTCATGCGTCCCTCGGTGTGCGCACTGCACCAGGGAGCCGACCCATCCTTCCCATCCCCTCCTCCCCACACCTCCTGGACAAGCTGCCTGTAGCTCCATCCTGCGTCCCACCCCAGCCCCACTCCCTCCCTCCCTCACCGCGGGGGCCTCCACCTGCCCCCCACCAGGTCCCTTCCCCCCCAACAGACTTAACAGCCGGATGCTGCTCTCCAAGCTGAAGGACTACATATCAGCAATAGGATTTGTATCAGCTGATATGGCTGGCTAAGAAGTAGCCATCAGTACTGGTAAAAAAAAAAAATCTTTAGCAATGCACCCCTATTTATTATACTTCTATGTGCCTCCACAATTCTATTACAAGAAATCAGCATAACCATACAATAAACTTCCTCAGCAACCGCAGAGAAATTTGCTTCATTTTTTTCTTTTACTCCATTTATATTATTTCTTTCTTTTCTGGTTTTTCTCCACTCCTCCATCTCATGTTGGTGTAAATTAATTTTTCAGAACTGTAGGAGCCAATTCTACAAAAAAAATTTATACAGTATTCTTATTGACTTATGTGCACTTGGTTAGATGTTTTGAAATTGTACTTTTATTTAAAACTACTATTTTTCAAACCAAATAGTGGTATTTTTGTTAAGTAATATACAGGCTGTTCTAAATACAAATATGCACTGCCTTAAAGTAACTGCATTTTTAAAATCTTTTAGCTCAGTCTGTGCAGGTTTGAGTACAAATGCATTTATTTTGGTCCCAGTGTTACTTATACTGATTCACCCTTAAATCACTAAGGAATTCAGGTAAACCAAAATAAGCCTCTCTCACCGAAACAGAAGTCTGCCTAAACACTTTACATCAGTTTAAGTAAATTGTTTTTAAATTATGAAAGTCAAATCATTGCAAGGACAGGATTCCTTTCTTTGTCCTATTCTCAGTAACAGCACTATCTATTGAACCTAGGTCTATTATGGCATAACTGTCTATGGAATTTACATTTTTGTTTCTTTTAACTGGTGAGAAGTTCTTTTCTGAATATTTTCACATATGTGAAACTTTAAATTTATTCAGCGTTAGAAAGCGGTAAAATATGAACAATGTTTTAATTGAAAGCATTGCTGAGACAGGCATTAATAACTGGCACAGATACTCCTAGTTAAATTACTGAACTGGCAAAAAAGAAGTTGTGTAGAACTTTTGGGACCATTTAAGTGAAGAGTTTCTTCTACATAAATACTTTTACAAGTATATCTGCACCGGCAAACTTCCTAGCAGAAATGAAGCTTTTATCAGTTATTTTACCAATACAGCGTACAACCATTATCTGAACTGAATAAACCACAAACTCTATCTATACTGGGATATTTTTCTGTTAGGTGAAAAATTGAGCATAGCTCAAGCCACAGCCCTGGTTTTAAGTGGATAAATTAAATTCAAATAGTTTTTCTTTGAAGATGCAAGAGAGGTGTAGGCACACTTATCAATCCCAGAAAGATTATTCAGATATGGCATGGCTTTAAGAGATGCCTAATCAAGTGGAGGGTTAACGATTCTGACTGCCAGCCCTGACCACCTAATCATAAAAAATTAAGAGTCTAATTCTGCACTAAGTGACACAGTTTTCATATCTGATCTTCCTAATATTTATCACTGTACCTGACTTTGATTGATATGACATCCATTTTATACTGTATCACACTTCATTATTGGCTTTATTCTATGCTTGTAATTGGTACCTAGGATTAAACTACTACTAATTTTAGATTTGTGGAAATTTAGGTTTGGGTTATGTCAGAGAATTTCTGCTGCGTTTATTCCAGAGACATTTTTGCTTTTTCCACTTGAACATAAAAAGGTTTAAATGCCTAAATGTTTAAAACATGGAAACATTTCATTTCAAATAAAGTGAATGAAAAGAGACATTTATCTAAGTAACTGCAAAATACAAGATTATTACAACTAGTAATATTTTGCATGTTTCAGAACTACTACCTAACCAAAACATATAGTATTTTCATATGTAGCCCTCCTGTCAGTAAAAAAAAAATCATATTTATTTGCATCTATTTTTTAAAAACAAAAATAGACAATACCATAAAACATTTAATATCTGCATACAAAGAAGGAAGTGATATTTGATGTACAGCCCACTTACTTCTCCTTCCAAATAATATTTAAAACAGAAGGGCTGCAAAATATAAATATAAAAACAAAAGTATAGACATCCGTCATGTTTACTGAACACTAACAGATACCAAAACATTTTTTTAAACTTCAGACCACCTTGGTATGTATTTGTTGAGATTGTATATTACGGTCTCAAAAATTTATTTTTACACACATACACATATAAGGGCTTAGTCTGTGCGTCTGTGCATTTGTCTGTCTGTCCAACACTTTTAGGGGGCGTGGCTCCCAGGGGGCATGGCTCCAGCCTGTGCTGCGTCAAGAATGATGATGAGAGGGGAAGACGCAGAGCAGGGCCAGATGTGGAGTGGGGGGAGCTGGCATGGGGCTGGGGTGAAAGGGAGGCAGGACCAGACTTGGAGTGGTGGGGGGGTGGCATGGGGCTGAATGTGGAGCAGGGGAAGGGGTGGCACGTGACCAGATGCAGAGCGTGGGGTGGTGGGTGCGGGCAAACTTCCCCCACTTTCTGTCCCTGCCCCCACCCCCATCATTCTTGATGGGCAAGTCACTAGTAATATTATATCACATTAATACGATATACTATTATATTGTCTGCAATGAAACAATGGGAGTTCAACTTTTAATTAGATTAAAATAATGTTTATTAACTGAAAATTAGTAAGGCTTCAGGAAGTTCTTTAGAGAGCAACATTTAGTGTGAACAGTATTTTTTTTTTTGATGTAACCATTCTCCAGAGCTTTCATACTCTGCAGCAAAATACCAAATTCTATTCTGTTTTAGTACATCTCCACTGTCAGATCAGTTTAAATATCTAAAATCAGGTCAGTAACTATAAACATCAGCTGCTCCATCTTGTCTGGTATTTTTGTCACAAGAAAGACCAAAAATTCAGACAACACTACTACTTCCCACTTTTTTCCCCTCCAGTTAACAATCCTACATAGGATTTCATAATATAATCCTATATAGTTTGCCTTCCTAGTCTGAAGAGATATTTTGAGGATCCCTACAAGTACAGGTTTGAACATTATCCTATTTACACAATTCTAAAAAAGAAAAACTGGTTTGCAAACATGTCAAGTTACATCAACTGTAAGATCATATAAGAAATATAATTAAAAAAAAAAAAATCAAATCATGCATTCTGAGAATGCGTTTATTTTGAAGAAAATTTCCTCCCATTGACTAACACAGTAGGACTTAATAATAATAAATTGAGCTGATGTTATTTTCCTCTAAGTTTATCATCAATCAAAATGCTGGAATGGTATCAATCAGATACCATCCCTTACATAAAGTGCTGTACAGTGGATTAAAAATTGCCTTCCTTCCGCTAGGCACTAGATTTATAATATTTTCCTCTCCCCTTGATCACCACCATCAAGGAAGATTCACGAATACAGTCCCTGCTTGCTTTACTTTTCTTAAGTAATCTCCTCATAACCAGTGTGGAAGTCATCATATGCTAGCTCAGCCCAATCCCTCCAATTAATCAGAGGGAAAAAAAAAAACTGTTTAGAAATCAAAGAGACCTTGAATAGTCCCAAAACCACCTAACCGAGCCCTCCAGGAATCTGGAAGCAGGGGTACCCCCTCCACCCACCTCCCCAGCCCAAATCAGCTTGGGATGTCTGAATGCCTGGAAAATTGCCACAAATTGAATGAAAATGATAAGTGACTTGGGGAAACCACTGTTTAAAAGTGGTGGAGTCCTTGGGCACCCCACACAGAACCCAGCGCTCCTGAGAGTGCGGAAGAAGGGTCCAGGCAGTCCCTCAGGAATCCAGAAGCACAGGTCCAGGGATCTCTCCCAACTCACCATTCCTATCCCCTTCCTTCAAATCAGCCTGGGACACCAGGGACTGAAGTCAAGTGCAGGCAATATATGTTGAATCAGTATAGCTTTGCCAGCATCTAAGAATAGCCAGTTGCCAGGTGGTGTTTTGGGAGTGAAGGGGGGCATGGAGGAAGCAGTATAGTGTGGCTTGCCTGGAGGATCAACCAGAAACTAGTAACAGAAAACTTCGTGTCTGCATATAACAGTGAACCAGTTCACAGAGGACCATTTCAAAATACTACCTGATTATCAAGATATGTTCTTCAAACATACCAGGAGATTTAAACCATTCTAACTTAGATCGTATGCCTGGATGCGTGTGGTTTAAATCTAATTTTGAATGGTCTAAGTGTTACGTCTGTCCACACTTTCAGACATCCTTTCTTTGCAGGAACATGTAGGGGTATTACTACAATTAGGCCACAGTGTGTGGGGGAGGAAAGGCAACAGACGCATGCATTTCGATCTATGGTAATATTTTTAAATATCATATGAGTATAGTGAACCAAGATTTTTAGTTTCACATAACTAGCTTTTTTTTTTTTTTTTTTTT